TGAGCCATGGCGGGCGCCGCGTCTCCCTGCGCCAACGGCTGCGGGCCCGGCACGCCCTCGGACGCCGAGGTGCTGCACCTCTGCCGCAACCTCGAGGTGGGCACCGTCATGACTTTGTTCTACTCCAAGAAGTCGCAGCGGCCCGAGAGGAAGACCTTCCAGGTCAAGCTGGAGACGCGCCAGATCACGTGGAGCCGTGGCGCCGACAAGATCGAGGGGGCCAGTAAGTGCGCCTCCTCCCCGGCCCGGCAGGGCCCGGCCCGAGCCCTGCGCGCGCACTGCGCCCGCGGGGGCGGCGGGGTCCCTGCCCGGCTCCCCGATCCCAGACGCCGGGGCAAACTTTCAGACCCTCCCCCTCCCGTCGGGCCCCGCCCCCGTCTCGTCTCTGGTGGTCATCCGGGGCGGGGTGGGGGGGGGGCATCCGGGTCCTCGATCACCTGACAGGACACCCCCTTTTCCCAGCAGGGTGGGGGTGTTTCTTTGCTGTGAGGCCTAGGAATTCTCCCTCAGAATCTAGTGGGGTTGGCTTCGACTCCCTAACATTTGGGAGGTGGTGTCAAGTGGTGGCTGGGGGGAATCCAGGATGGTGACCCTCACTCACCTAGCTGGAGAACCTGGAGCCCCACCGGCCTTTGCTTCCCCGTCACGTCTTTCTCCGGACTGCCCAGTCTTTGAAACTCTGAGGGCCTCCCTGCTGAGCTTTAGGTGCAAAGGGAGCTTTTGGTTCCATAAGTAGAACTCAAATGTTGGAGCTGGGCTGGTTTTGAAGCAGAGTCGGGCCTAGTCATCACCCTCTTGGGAAGAAGGAGGAAAATGGTCCTGTGTAGGTTGAAAACAAACCTCAAAGAAAGCAGAAGCTCCTTTTCCCTGGATGCTTCTTTTGTCCCGAAGCTGAGTTTTAAAGGCCTGCGTGGGTGGGCAGACACCCAAAGCCCGAACTGGGGCTCTTGGTAAAGGAACCAGGTCTCCTTGTCCTTGCAAGCTGGTAACCAAGGGCCTTGGTCTCAGGAAGGCCAGCCCCAGTGCTTTGGAGCCAGGCATTCCTCTTGGAAGTGTGCAGCCAGTTTTGGGTCGAGCCTTTTGTGTCCTGTGTCCGGTGGCCGCAGGGAGCCTAGAGTGGCTCCTCTGGGTTTCCTGCCTCTTTGCCTACCCAGGCCTGAGCTTGGCTGCTTTTGCACAGGTCTGTGGTGGTGGAAGGAGTTAGGGGAATTTTGAGAAGCCCCAGAGCTTTCATAGTGCTGGTCTACTTTGCATGTGTCTGTACTATGATCATATGGGCACTCAGTTCTGCTTGGCTCTTCAGTCCCCTAGCTGAAGAGTTGATGTGTCTGCAACCTCCAACTATGGGTTACTGCCTGCAAGAACCCCCAGAGACTGGTATTGGAGAGACCTGGGCTCAAAACCAATTGGGTGGTGGTGTGGGAAGGGAGACTAAGAAATGAAAGCCTGAGAGAAGATGCTGCAGATCTTCCTGCATATGCTGTATATGGGTCTAGATGGTGGGGAGGAAGAAAGGTCTTGTGGTGAGGCAGCCATCCTCAACTGCAATCTTCCGATCTGACTTAGATCTGCTACAGTGGCTGAACATAGCAGTTGCACTGTCCCCATATGCCCTGTCTACCATTGGGAGGGCATTTTACTGATTTGAGAGAATATGAATTCTAAGGTAGAAGAAGGACAGATGCTGCGAAGAGCGTAGAGATAGTCCTAGAAATATCACCCAGACAATAGATTCCAGACAAGGAATTTGTAGCTCTCCCAGTGCTAAGGTAATGGTATTGGCTAGAGGTTTCCAGATAGAGATCCCCTCGGTAACAGCTGCCTTCTAACTATGTATGTAAGTTGTACATCATTGAGCTACTTCCTAAGTCTTGAGACCTGATTTTCCTCATCTGTAGGGGTAATGGTGTTTATACCATGCATAGTTACTCTGGGGATCAAATGAGATAGTGCTTCACAATGTAAATATTTGATAGCTGTGAGCTGACATATTGACATTATAGGTATTTAATAAAAAGCTATTTGTCATTATTACCATAATAATGGGTTGTGCTTTTTTTTCTAGATCCTAGATTGAGGATGTTGAGGAAGATCTAGTGTGGTTGTTAAGACAGCACAAGGATGAAAAGAGGAGGAGGATAGAGACTCAGTAGACATTTAGCTTACTACTCAGAAAAGGAGAGGAAATGGTTTTGTTTTGTCTCAACCCAACTACCCACCTATTCACCACCTATCATGTTCATGTTTCTGTACAGAAAGTGTTGGGAGTTTTGTATAGTTGACACCTAGATTTTCCTTTTCTTCATAAGGCAGGGCCTAAACAGAAGGAAGGAGTGTAGTGAGAGGGAGACACGGCCAGTTTGTGATGTCTCACTCAGGTCTTTGGGAGATGGAGGCAGAAATACACAGGACTTTATAGCCCCAGTCTCCTCCCCTCTCCCAAGTGTAGATCAGCAGAGGTGCAACTTCTCATTGGCTAGCTGAGACTTGAGAGGCATGGAGGGTAGGCATAGGATGTAGAGGGGTCTTGGTCCCTTGATTTGGGGAATCCAAGTTGAAAGACTGGGGGAAAGACCATGTGGAGTTCAGCCCTTACATGGGGAGCCTCCCACTTAAGCACTGTCCCACTTCTGCCCATTCATGGTTCATGCCATTGAAGGTTCCAGTCTCTGCAGCCTTCTTCTGCAGACTGAGGACGACTGGGTTGCCAGTCCAGTCTCCTGCCTCCTGGCCTCTTGCCCAAGTGCCTCAGGTGGTTGGCCTTGTCCTGCTGACTCTGTTAAGGTACCATGCAGTTCCTGAGGCCTAGCCAAAAAGAAATGCTCTGCTCCCCTCAGGCTGTCCATGATTCTGAAGGAGGTAGTGTCATTCAGTGCCTGTGCATAGTACTACCTTGATTCGGTCCTTACTCTGATTTCACCATTGTTGCTGTGGGGTGGTACCTGCTGGTACCTGCAGGAGTTTGGCTCAAAAAACTGGTGGAGCTAGACATCCATTGTTTACACCTGTAATCCTAGCTACTCAGGAGGCTGAGATCTGAGGATCTTAGTTTGAAGCCAGCCCAGGCAGGAAGGGTCTCTGTGAGACTCTTATCTCCATTTAACTTCCAGAAAACCGGAAGTGGCACTGTGGCTCAAAGTGGTGAAACTCTAGTATTGAGTGAAAAACCTCCCGGACAGCGCCCAGGCCCTGAATTCAAGACCGTGACTTACCTGGGAGGAAAAATTTTTAAAGAGAAAAGGGGGTGAAGAAGTGCTTTAGTGCTATTTGGTATGACAGAAGTCAGGCTGGTGTTTGGCTTTTTATGCTTCAGTTAAGTGAATAAAAAGTGATTACAGACTTCCTGCTGGTAACTAGAGCGACTTTATACCCTGTTTTCTTGGCTAATCCTCACAAGGGCTCTGCAGAGTGGTAGGGAGTACCACCTCATTTCATAGTTGAGAGAATGAAATACAGGGAGTAATCAGAGCCAGTGTACCATCCCCTCAACTGGGGCCAGCCTTCAGCAGGGCTGGTTCCCCATGCCCCAGGTGACTGTCCTTGGGTTATGCTGCCAGTGGGTCTTAGGCCCCACACTCCCTGTAGTCTGTTGTCTCTTGTGAGAAACCTTTTTGTGCTTAGACCACCTTCTACGTAAAGCTTCTGTATTCTTGACAGCCTCAGCCTCTCTGTCTCTTCCTTCACACTTTTTCATCTGGTGCCATCTGATGAGGTAGTGAGACCCATGTTAAGTGAAATTGTCCAGTCAAGGGTCACTGTTAGCACAGAGGCCCAGATGGAAACTAGAAGGGCTTTGGGAGTTCCAGCTGAGCATCTCTGAGGGACTTTGGGGGGCCTTGGGCTTCCATCTCTGGCTGATGGATCTGTTAATATTCTTCTAGCCAGGTGCTGGTGGCTCATGCCTGTAATCTTAGCTACTCAGGAGTCTGAGATCTAAGGATCTCAGTTCAAAGCCAGCCCGGGCAGGAGAGGCTGTGAGACTCTTACCTCCAATTAACCATCAGAAAACTGGAAGTGGAGCTGTGGCTCCAAGTGGTAGAGCACTAGCCTTGAAAGGAAAAACTCAGGGACAGGGCCTAGGTCCTAAGTTCAAGCCCCATGACTGATAAAAAACAAACAAACAAAAATACTCTTCTAGATGTCTGGCCTTCTTAGGTAGTAAATGGAAACTGCTTCTTACCTTCAGGGAAATTTAGACAATGGCAATTGTGAGTGGTACCTTTGATGAAGGAGACAGTGGCAAAACAAAACAACCGACTGCTATTGATGGGGCTACTGGGCTTAGGATAAAATGGTATTGGGACTAGCTGGCTAGGGCATAACCCCTGTGTCTATTGGGTACATTATGGATAGAGGGAGGAGAATGCCAAAAGGCCTGATCTAAGCGTAGACCAGCAGTGCCAGGCAGGTATCTTCAAAGGTTCCTTTGCATGGGCTGGGTACTTGTGGTGGGAGAATGGTAAGAGCATGTGTCTGGGTCTTCAGAGCTAGCCTCCCTGCCTGTGTGTTTCCTGTCTGACAGTGATTTTTCCAGGGGAAGTCAGATCTCTCAGTGTTTCCTCAGCACCTCAGGCCTGCCCCAATGCATGTGTTTCTAGGCCCCCCATCCAGCTGATACTGTTTCCTGTGAACCTGGAAAAAGGCTTGCTTCACAGATGGCTAGCTGAACATGCCCAGTCCTAGGAATGTTAAGACCTTCAGCTTCTCCCAGGACTCTGTGTCTTCTGTGTGTATCTGGAGAGGAGTTTGGGGTTTAGATGACTAAAGCTAGATGACTAGTTTTCTTCAGGTGGCCCCTTAGAATAGGGGCATTATTTGTTCAGTAAGCTTTTACACACCTCTTACTTGCCCAGAGCTAGGCACTGAGGATTCTAAGGATGGATAAGACATGGTCTTTGGCACTGATGATCTGTGGCATTGAGGAACTTTTAGGTGAGACAGCCTTGGAAGTGTGAGCTTATAACCCCGTGTGTTAGGTACCCTATAAAGGTCTGTGCCAGGGGCTCTGAATGTAGAGAGTAAGGGAGATAATGTTGAGTGATTGAATGTTTGCCTCTGGTGGCGTAGGATCTGGGAGTCACTCTGTTCAGGGGTTGGGAACACCATTGGCATGGTAGAGATAAGGATGGTATGGCTGGGGACAAGCTCAAGAAGAGGGCCACTTGTGTGCTGTGCTCAGTGTGATGCTTAGTAATCACCATGTCATCAGCACTGGAGTCAGCA